CCCAGATATTCTTTGAGCATTCTTAAAGTCACTCTGTGATTTAGGCCATCATGTAAACTCGGTGAGCTGCAGTTTTTCTCACCTGTGAAATGTGAAGAGGCAGCTCAGAGCCTGGTTTTGAAGGTCAGATGTGATGCCAGCCCCAGAAGAGCTTGGAAAAGCTGACCATGGGACATGAAAGGTGTCGATTGTCTGGGATGCCTGAAGCTGTCTGCATGGAGCCCCTGGAACCATGGCCTCTGCTCGCCCTGTAGGGAAAGGGGAAAGCATGGAGGCTGAGAGACATGTCACGGACCCCTCCCCCATCCCACCAAAGGTACAGCGGGGTGGATAACAGAAGGTTCTCCTCTCAGAGCCACAGCTGACTGTGTAAGCTTGAGCGAGTCCGTGGGTCACTGGGCCTTGAATTCCTGTCTGTAAAATGGGGCCACAATTTCAGTCCAGCCTATCTCATGGGAGGGAGCCTCCTGGGGCTCTCGGAGCTCTGAGATGGCGCCTGTTGGGGAGCAAAGTGGCCCTGAATCTGATCCACCCTCTATTACGTCCCGACCACGAGGCACGGTGCCTGCACTTAGCAGCGCGCATTAAACATTTGATGAGTGACTACGTCAGAGAAGCTAAAATCATTCATGTCCTCTAGACTGAAACAAAATTTTCATGAGATCATACTTAATTTACTTCTCTTTTCTGGTATTGTCTGCCTATCCCATCCCATCCCCCCCACCCCCACCCCTTACCATCCCATATCATCCCATCCCACCCCATCCCATCCCTTCCCGTCCCGTCCCATCCTTTTCCATCCCATCCTATCCTACTTCACTGAAAAAATGCCGTTAGGACCCGTCCAAGTTTACGCCTCACCAGTGGGTCAACACCTGCAGTTTGCAAACTCTGCCCCGGAGCAGTAGAAGGTGAGTCCTCACCTGAGTTACAGCCCTTGCTGGGCAGGAGGCTGACTGATTATGGCTGGGCCTCCTGCAGCCCAGGGACGACCTGAGCAGAGGAGGGTTGGCAAGCCCGGCAGCCCAGAGCCGTCTCCACCCACTCGGGGCCAGGCCCTTGAGGCCGCTGTCTGGCTGCTTCCCCGTGCAGGTTTCAGCAGAGGCTTCAGCAAAGGGGTAACAGGTCCAGAGCTGCCCGGAGGCCTCGGGCTGTCCTCCCTGTCTCCCCCTGGAGACCCCTGAATGATGCTGCTTCTTGGAGTCCGAGATCCCCTCTCTGTCTCCTCATCTCTCCACCTCTCCCTCGGCCTCTGGTCTCTGTCTGCCTCTTCAGCCCTCGTCCTGAACTGCTCTTCTTAAGTCGTAACAAAGGCGCGAGCCTGAAGCCAGGAGCTTCGCCCTCTTCCTGTGTTTTCATCTGAATAGGGGGTGGGTGAGGCAACCCTTAATCACCGCGTGGATCTCCTCGCTCCCCTGGTTGTGCAAAACCCCCTTCTGTGAGCCGTTTGTGAGCACCTGCTGCAGGCCAGCCACCTGACACACGTTCCGCCGAGTCCAGCAGAGTCACATGAGAGACGCGCTTTTCTCCCCCATTTCACAGACAGGCAAACTGAGGCAGGGGGGCCGGATTTGAACCCAGGACTGTCTGGGCTCCTCCTCCCCAGCAGACCATCTGGCTGCAGCCCAGACCCGCCCCGGTGGCCCCCAGCCGAGCCCCACACATGCTCTGCTTGGGCCACCTTCTGAGGAGGAGCCGCCACCTCTGTCCCAGCCTTTGGCCTGGGCCCGGGGGTCTGCACTCTAAAGCTCCTCCCATGCACGTGTGGAAGCTGGTTGGCCACCGGTGTCTGGGAATCTGTCTGCCCGGATGGAGGCCGGGTGGAGAGCTGCAGGGTCGAAGCAGGCCACGCCTGGTGGGGACGGAGCCAAGACTGCCGTCCAGGGTCCAGACCCCGGACCCCGGCCTCCCAGCCTCTGGGCTGTCACACCCGTTCTTGTTCCTTCACCGAGTCTTAAAGGAGCTGAAACATTAAAAGTCACAGTCAAGACGTAGATGCAAGTGAACAGCACAGACAGCCGTGGCTTTGGGGAGTTGGCCGTGCACGTTTCTCCTCCCAGCAGGACTGGTCCCCGTGGGCGCACACCCTTCTCCTGTCAATCCCGTGCCCGGCCCCTGCACACACGTTTCTTTGTTTGCCTGGAGCTGAGGCTCCGTGGGCCCAGGCGGGAACAGTTGGTGGATCGCTGAGCCCAAAGGTCTGAGCCGCTTGTATGTGGAGGGAAGGGGAAGAGGGAGGGAGGAGGGAGAGCAGGTGCCGTGTCTTTTCATTCATTATCAGGGATGCAGATGAGAAATGGAGATAAAAGTTGGGGAAATGTCATCCTTTGACATTTACGTTTTCAGAGGAGTTGGCAGGGACTGTGGGCCGGGAGAGTGATGCCTCTGGGGAAGCCCAGCTCCTGCATCCTGGGAGTGGGGCAGGCACCGGCCAAAGGCGCCTCGGGGAGCCGCTGAGGTGCTTCACGCCCCCCGCACCCCTAACCTTTCACGCGGGGCCAGTGCCCCTCATCTGACCCCACGGCTCTGAGGGGTCCCACGTCTGTTCCCTAGCAGCCCCTGCCCTGGGCCTCTGGTCACTGGAGTGAGGTCCCCCCTGGTGAGACCTGAGATTTCCCTTCTTGCACAGACACCAGCCAGGAAATGCACAGCCCACGCGGAGCGAGGGGCAGGGCACCTCCGGCAGAGCTGGGACAGTTAATCCTGTGAACCCCGTTTAAGGAGCTGCTCCTGTCCGGTGATAAACATCCAGAGCGGAGCCCTTTACAGACTGCTAGTGACAGGTTCCAGCCTGGAGCAAAGCGACTGAGAGCTCAGGACTGAGCTTTGCTGTGGTCCTGGCAGCAGGAGAAGCCATTCTGTCCGCTGGGACTGTGGACACGTGGACACAGGGACCGGTCTCCTGGCCTCAGCTCACTCCGCTGTGGCAGTTCCTCCCTGTCCTGGGCTCCACCTGTATGGGACTCGGCCTCGGCCCTGACTGCAGGTTGGCAGACAGGTTTCGTCTCCTGTGCCGATGCTGGCGGGCTGCTGGTGCCTCGTGTGGACTCCGCAGGAAGGACTGACTCTAGGCCTGTGTCTGGCTCCACGCGGAGGAGTGCGGCAGTTGATTAGCGATGTCTGCCACGGTAGGCGTAGGAGAGGGGTGGCGTGTGTGCCCTCTAGTTGCTAAGCCCTTTGGCCCTAACACTTCCAGCATTCTATCTAGTAACTATAAGGCCATCAAGCAACATTGCTTTAATTTTTGTTCTTCCTAAATATTTAGAGCCCTTAAAAGCCAAGAATAACGGCAGAAGCCAAGTTGCTCATTGTTTGTGAAAGGCCTCTCGGAGCACACAAGTGTGGCAGCCCTGGCTGGGCCAGCTGCACAATAAACCCATTGAGTCTTGTCTGAGAAAACACAGAAGAACCCTGTCATTCTTTGTATTCATAACTTCCGTGCGTCCCGGCCCCTGAAATAGAACCCCTACCGGAAGACAGCGCACAGCACTCAGCTTGTTGGCCCAATCTCCCGTCTCGCCAGCTGAGAAAGGGCCCTTCTGTATGGTTTGGGGTTCTCTCCCCCTCCTTTTTAAAAAGAAATTCCTGCTAGAAGGAGAGCTGCCCACAAGGAAGTCGGAGGCGTGTGTCCCGGATGGGGGACTTCGGGAAGGTGACCTAGCCTCAGTTTTCCCGTCTCCCAAGTGTGCACGGCAGGCCTGGCCTTTAGGGGTGTGAGGATTCGCTGGGATGATGGCCACGAAAGGCCCGTCAGACTCAGTTTCTGAGACAGCCGGCGCTCAGCAGAGGGTGTCTGTGACTTTAGCAAGTGGTCATCACGGGCCACGTTCATGTTCCCCGTCCTCAGACGCGCACCCACACCCGCACCCGTGCACACGCAGCTGGCTCTCAGGGTCGAGGCTTGCCCCTGCCTCCTCGGTGCTCAAGTGTCTGGCACGGCAGGTGCCCCGTCAGTCCTGCCGGGAATCGTGAGCAGCTTATGTGAGTTGTGAGTCATTCTCGAGTGCGTGATGCTCTGTGTTCGGGGTCAGTCACCGCCCTCTCCCGGCCTCCATTACCCCATGACCATCTGTGGAGCCTCATCCCTTCTTGCCACTGGTCATTTTGGAGATCTGTGGAACGGCCGCGTTGAGGCCTCTGAGGCTGGGAGCTGGGCGGGGCCTGTGTGTCTGGAGGGGGCTGGACACGGGGCAGGACCGGGTTGGGGCGGGGGCGGCAGGTTGGAAGTGCTTCTCGCCGGGCACTTCGGGAACTTGACTTTGACAAGCCTTGTCGGTCTGGGGAGTGCCTGCTGGGATCCCCTCATGAAATCTGAACCTGGGCTGCTTCGTTTCCCCTCTACACCCCGACCCCCCAGGGCGCCGGGCATCTGTTTAAATGGTCATACTGGAGAGAGGAGGGGCTGGAGGGGAAGGGAGCATTATGCTGGGATGTTTGCCTCTACGCTGTGCCCCGGGCTGCTGTGTCACCTTGGGGAAATCTCTTGACCTCTCTGGGCCACTGTTTCCCCATCTCTGAAATGTATCAACACCTCCTCGGAACAGGAGTTGTTATTAAACATATGGTAACTTGCAGAACAGGAGCCTGGGGTGAGCACTTTGTAGGCACGATGTCTGAGCAGACAGACTCTCAGTGGCCCCGATGAGGCAGACCCTCTCCTGGGGGAGAACGAGACTCAGGGAGCGGTTGATGTCGGAGCCCCGGGAGTCGGCAGAGCGGGGGGCTGTGAGCCCAGCCCTGCTCCTCTCCAGGGCGCTGCGCCGGGCGTGCAGCAGCCCTCGGCAAACATTAGTGCACCAAAATGACATATTTTGCACGACAAATACAAAAGAGGTGTCTTGCCTAAAAAATCTTACGCTGTGTTTTTTTTGTTATTGTTTACCAAGATGAAACGGGCTCAGTGAACTGTTCTCGACACCTACAAAACGCTTCATTACAGTTTTATGATGACTTTAGGCTTTCTGGTGAAATTACAGAAGCATCTTTTCGTCTCCCCCCAGGTCATCTCGGCCGTGTCGAGGCTCTCCCTGCACAACTTGGCTCAGACCAAAGGGATCAGGTGAGCTTCGCGGAACGCGTGCTGCTGAGTGCCTGCCCTTTCATCTTCATCCACCGTCCGCGTGCCCTGTCACAGATATTGGAGTTTTGAGCAGACACCGTCTGCCCTGTGCCTTTCTCATGAATTTTCAGCGTGTTGTCGGGTTGCCTGTTGGCAGCGGCTGGAAGGGGTGGGGAGGAGGGGAGAGGCTTCAGCTCCCACCGGGGAAATCTTGCAGCGTGTTACTGATGGCTGCAAAATCTCTCTCGATTTAGGTAATAAGATCTGCAGATTAATCCTTTCACAGATCATCGCCTACCTAAATGCACTCTCCACACATCAGAAGTGGGTCTTGCCTCGCATGAAGCAGCAGTGTTTGTCTGCTGTGATGGGGCCGAGCCAGGGGACCTGTCTGCTTGGGGCTGCAGGCCTCCCGGCAGGAATCTCTCCACTCAGCTTTAATTCTGCTTGGATTGCAGAGAATCCCATGGCCCCCGTTGGTCTGATCTCTCGTCCCTGACACGTGGACGTCGTGGGGCGAGGGGCCCTGGAACTGTGAGGGCGGAGGGGTCAGGGGAGATGGGGGGATGGGGGCATGCTGGCCACGGGGGAGGGGGACGGGGCGGCAGCCCCGGGTAAGGACTGGTCATTGTGTATTCTGACCCATGGATTGGGGTCAGGGAGACCAGGTTCCATATCCGGTGAGGACAAGCACGGGGCCTCCCTTCCTCGATGTCCCTGGGGATTGTGGGCTAGCAGGGTGGGGATGAGAAGCTTGGGAGGGCAGAAATAGCTCCTCCTGCGGGTGGAGTGGATGGGGTCGCACCTGGCTGGGTACAGGCGACTTTGTGAGGGTGGTGGAACTACGGAGGGGCTTCACCCTGGTGTTGTCGTAGAGGGGGGCGCTACACATGCGTGGGCTGGGGGGTCCCAGGACCAGGGTGCCTACTGCAGTGGGACCCTTGGTGGGGCTGTTTGCCCAGGTCCAGAGGGTCACCGGAACAGACGCAAATATTAGGGAACCCACCCAGAACCTCTTTCTCTGTTGGGTTCTCCAAGGACTCAGAAATTTCATTGAATTGAGGATTTTTTTTTAACGTCAGCTGAAGGATAGGCTGTTTAAAAATGTTTTTAAGCTGCTATTAAACACATATTCGAGAATATTTATAACACGTTTAGGGTACAAGGAATAACATTAAGACGAAACCCCTGTACCCACCACCCAGCCTACGTTCTAGAACTTCAGCTGTGAGGCCCCCAGTTGCATGGGCTGGTTTTCATTGTAGCTTTTGTCTGTAATAGGGACACGTTAAAAATGTTTAATTGAGAAAAGCGAGTTGTTTCTGGATACAAAGACAGTACGTGGATTTTTTTGTGTTTTTCCCAGAAATGGTCGTCCGTTCTTTCCCCCGCTAGCCCGGGACGACAGGCGGTGTTCTGGGTTGCCTCTTACCCGTTCCAGCACATTCTCCACCTGTGCGCGTGTCTACATGTACACGTAGGTGGGAATGAAGTCCTGCCACAGAAGTTAGTCATTTTCTCTGCTTTGTCACGTAACGTGAGCTTTTCTCTCAATCCATTAAACATCCTCCCAAACAGGGGCCCGCTGCCAGGGAGCCCCGCAGTGCCCCTGGGGCGGACGAGCCAGCTGGCTGTGCTTGGACTCGGTCCTGCGGTGGCCTGAGCACCGTGCCAGGCTCCCCACGCCGTGCCCTGCCGTGCCCGAGGCCCGTGACCGAGGCTGGGGCCGCCCTGTCTACAGGCTCCTGGAGCCTCAGTTTCCCTGAGGGTTGACAGCCAGCCATAGGGTCTGCCGGTGGCTTAGAAGGTGGTGAGGGGCCTGAGAGCGGGCGTGTGACCTCTGATCAGTGTGGAGGCTCCTGGGGGACGGGGCGGTGCCCTTCCTCCTGGCCTTCTCGCCCCCATCCCCCCATCTCCCCTGACCTCTCCGCCCCCATGGTCCCAGGGCCCCCGCCCCATGACCCAGGTGCCTCCCAGGCTGCTCCCGTGGTGCTCTCCGAGGCTGGCAGGTGAACTTGGAAACCTGCCCTCTCCCCTCCCTATTCCGGGAGCCGCCCGGGCAGTGTGTGGGCACAGTGGCCCCCTGGATGGGGAATGAAGACCCTTAGGGCAATGGTGAGCAGAGAGGGTTGCGATCTGGGCTGCGGAGTTGGTGAGACCTGGCTGTAAACCCTGCATCGTGTTGGCTGTGTGCCTTGTGTGGGAAGCCCCTCTCTGAGTTGGTGGATGGGGATTCACCCAGGGGGCTCATCAGGGTTCATTCAGATAAGGCACGTAAATCCCGAGGTCAGTGTTGGCCCACGGAAGGGCTCAACACATACTGTAGTTTGTTGCAGTGATGTAACAGGGTGCATCGGGGCCCCCAACACCACCCTCGGGTCTGACGATTCGCTGGGACTCAGAGAACTCAGCAAAGCCGCTATACTCAAGATTCTGGTTTATTACAGCAAAAGGAACCAGATACAAATTAGCAGATGGAAAAGGCACATGAACTGGCATCCAGGAGGGACGATGCACGAGTCTTCCAGGTCTCCTCTGTCCGAGGAGTTGCATGGACAGTGCTTCATTCTCCCAGAACGATGTGTGATGCCATGGGTGAGGGTTGCCAGCCAGGGAAGTCCCCCTGAGCTTTGGTGCCCAGGTTCTCGTTTGGGGTGGGTCATGTAGACGTGGCTGACTGCCCACGTGGGTGACCTTAGCCTCCAGCCCCTGCAGAGGTCGAGCGGTGGCCCCACCATAAACCCCATCATTTCCCAGACTCTGTGGCTGGGCCCAGGGCCCCCCAGGTAGACAAAGATGCTCTTATCAGCAGGACATCCCAAGGGCACAGAGGTCCCTGCCGGGAGCCAACGGACCAGGACCTGATCTTTCTTGAATGTGCAGGGTGTGGGCAGCCCAGGTCTGCTGAGTTAACCCTTTACTGCACACGGGGGAGGGGGAAATGAAGGGGATGGGGGGAGGTGTTTGCAGACAAAAGGAAGAGGCAGGGCCTCCCGGCAGGAGCAGAGCCTTTGCAGGAAGAGCTGCCCGGCTCACCTGCATCTCCTCCCCGTCCGTATCGCTCGGTTTCCCCTGTGCCCCATCCCCACCCTGTGTTTCTTCTCCCTCCTTGTTTGAGCCCCAATCCAGAACTTTCCCAGGGTCCCTTCCCTCCGCAGCCCCCTGGGGACAGGACCTCCATCACTTCACACGGCTCACCCACCCTGAGCCTGGGAGGCGGCTCCGACCGCCCCTGTAGCACAACGCGTTTGAATCGTCTCTCCTCGTGCGCCGTACAGGTTGAGTTTTCACGGGCAGTTTACCATTCTGGGAGCCACCGGCGCTGACACAAAACGCTCACTGTGCTCCCTTCCCTTAAGAGCATCTCACAGTGTTGTTAATTAGCAGAAGGTGTTCCTTTAGCCAAACCCTTTTCTGTTTTGAAAACCCACAGACCAAGCCTGCAGCCCTGCAGAATCTCTTCCTCTTTTCTTTCGTGGCTGGATAGGAGCCCAACATGGTCCTTTAGAAAAATGATCATTTTCACAACGCTTGCTCTGTGCATAATGAGCCGATTTTCCACAAAAGCCCCAATCATGCTTCCCAGAGGCTGATGACTAGGAGACTTAATCAAAGAGCCGCACCCTGGTGCTGGCTGGGGGATCAGGAATGATGTGTGTGTGCGGTGGGGGTGATCCCTGGGGAGCCACCCAGCTCAGCGTGTGGGGATGTGGGTCCTTGTCGCAGCCGGAGCCGGCCCTCCAGACTGAGGGATCATCACTGCTGGGAATGGCTGGGAAGGAGGAGACTGTGAGACCCTCTCTGCGGCTGAAACTGAAAGGTGAAGCCAAGGCGCCCCCCGCCGGCGGAGGTCTCATCTGTCAGCCACCTGCTTGTTGAGTGACCTTAGGCAGGGAAGCTCTTGGACCCTCTGTCTCTTCTTCTGTAGGCTGGGAAAGCTCTCCCTGCCACGCAAGGTTGCCGTGAGCCCGTACACTGTGCAGCGTGATTTAGTGCAGCCCCTGACACTCAGTGAACGCCCATGGGCTGCTGGCTGGGTGGTGGGCCGACAGGTGGCCCCCCAAAAGATACATCCACCTCCTAACTCCTGGACCCTGTGTGACAGGGAAACGGTTCTCTGCAGGTTGCGTTTTTAAAGATGTACTTACATCTATAAAAATGTAGTTGTAAGAGGGCGGCAGGAGGGTCAGAGTCAGAGGAAGGGGGTGTGACAACACACAGAGGAGGTTGCAGTGATGTGGCCATGAGCCAAGGAACGCGGGTCGTCTCAGAAGCTGGAAGAGAAACGGATCCTCCCCTGGAGCCTCCGGAAGGAGCCAGCCTTGCTGACACCTTGATTTTAGTCCCTAAGACCCATTGCAGACTTCTCACCTTCCGGAACTGCAAGATAGTAAACCCGTGTTGCTTGGGGCCACTGTGGTGCTTTGTGACAGCAGCAGTGGGAGTGAACGCAGATGGCATGGGACAGGAGCCTTAGGAGCGGGTGGGGGCCTGTCGTGGCGCCCCGGGCGCGTGGACGTCTGCACACACGCCGCGCTGGGTCCGGGTGGTGGGCTGGGTTCTGGGTCCTCACTGGGCTGAGTGCTTCTGGGAGCAGGGACCAGCCTCCGTCTTTGATTCCCTGGTCCTAGCCCAGCCCCACCACCCTGTCTTGTGCTCTCTGGCTTTTTATTGAGTTGCACTAAACTTCACATAAGCTTCATCCCTTTGAAGTGCACGGTTCGGTGGCAGCTCACACACATTCAGTGTTGTGCCACCATCACCCCTGTCTTACTCCCAAGCGTTTCTCACCTGAACGGAGGGATCCCACCAATTGGGGCAGCGGCGCCTGCAGTGTTCCTGATCCTGCCTGGGGCTCTGTAGAAGGTTCTAGAAGGGGAGGGTGCTCCTCATGGCAGAGGCAAGGCTGGTGGGGAGGGAGCTCCTGTCTGGGAGGTGTTGGAGGAGGGCGTGCAGGCAGGGGAGGGTGGGCAGTCAGGCCTGGTCAGTTTGGTTTCCTT